CTCTTCTTCTTCTTCTTCTTCTTCTTCTTCTTCTTCTTCTTCTTCTTCTTCTTCTTCTTCTTCTTCTTCTTCTTCTTCTTCTTCTTCTTCGGGTGTCTGGTCTGGAACAGACACTGACGATCAGGGTAGCCTTCTCTTCTCTGTAGTCTGTCTTATTGATCAGCTGGGTTTTTCTCATTGTGTCATTTGTTCTTTAAAAGTTGTTGAGGCCATCCGTGTATAATGTCATATGTCTTCAATAGCTCTTCTTTCTATCTGTCTTTCCTTGTCTTGATTAGTCATTATATAAAAAGAAGAGACTAATCATTAAACCCAACCCCCAGAACGGAGAAAGCTGTTCCTAAAACATCTTTACCAAATAAAATTCATTACATAAAACAAGACTTTAGTACCGGCATAATCTTTATTGTACATACATGATTCTAGATATGTCTTGGGAGCCACCATTTTCGTGCGCCAGTTCGAACTTTTCAAGACCAAGGACATCTGATAAGAGAAATCCATAATTTGTCATGCGAACAAAGAGATGCTCAGTTATCATAAGGATTTTTCTATTCCTTTACCTATGGTTAATAAGATGAAACAAGCATTTTAACGTTATTAGAAATAATAATGTTATTGCTATTAACGAAATGACGAGTCGAGAAGTTGAGGCGGTACGAAATAAAAGGTCGAGAAGATGAGGTGGGGACAGAATGAGAGGTTGAGAGGAGGAGGAAGGGGCGGAATGACGGGGTTGAGAGGAGGAGGAGGGACGGAATGACGGGGTTGAGAGGAGGAGAAGGGACGGAATGACGGGGTTGAGAGGAGGAGGAGGAATGGAATGACGGGGTTGAGAGGAGGAGGAGGGACGGAATGACGGGGTTGAGAGGAGGAGGAGGGATAAAATGAGGAGATCGAGGAGATTAAATGGGATGGAATGACAGGTTTGAGAGGATGAGGAGGGACAGAATGAGGAATCGAGAAGACGAGGAAGGAGAATGGGGGGTCGGGAAGGTGAGGAGGGACGGAATGAGGTGGTCGAGAAGATGATATGGGACGCAATTGGGGGGGGGGGGGGGGGGTGAAGATCAGGAGAACGGAATGATGGGTCAGAATGGTGTAGAGGTGTATGACATGATTGCGAAGATGAGGATGGACGGAATGAGGGGTCTGGTATGGAGGACAGTGAATATAAAGTAGGGTGAAGGGTTTTAATGTACCTCATACAGATTTTAGTGTTGCATCGTGATAAAATCAGACATTCGTCCTAAATAATGAAATCGAAAGACATCGACATTTTTCTACTCTTTGGGCAAATATTATCGGGGGGTTTTTTTTTTTCTAAAGTTTGGTCTCATCACCTTTTATATCCATAAAAAATACATTTTTGTGTGGACTTCTACTGATCATTATCAATTTTAACGCCTGGGGGTTGTGTTTTTCGCTAAACTTTTTAAAGGGAAAATGATAATGCATTCTTGAATACTACTGATTTTGTTGTCGTTGCTGTTTTCTTTTGATGCTACTTTTACAATGTAGTGTTTTTGTAACAAAAGTTTGTGGAGAGGGGCGCTACAGGTACTTTGTAGGTCTTTACTCTTCTTGTCTGGTTCTTTCAAAACTAAATGGCTAAATAGTCCAGTTTTTCTGCTATTCCCAAACAAACACAATAAAGGTACACAATGTAATGAATTCAATTTGCTCACACGAACACGGTTAGTGGTAATATAATATAACGTAATAAAGAAACACTGCAGTTTACGAAAAGAAAAAAGGTTGTTCTCACTTGAGCCAGCTTTCTTGGAGAGCCAAAAAAGCGCTCCGCTTCCAATGCCTCCGCAGCCGATGACTATGTAGTCAAAGTGACGTCGTCCTCCCAGATCTTCCAATGAATTAGCCATTGTCAATCAGTTTATTTGATCAGTTAGCGGGAACTTTACCACAACAGTGAATAGCCGTCTGGAGTAGATGCACACACTTACTGCTTCAAATGAAAGAATTGTTTCACACTGCCTCGGGTCTGATCGCTTAAATTCCTCTTCAAAAATCTCCTCTGTGCAAGAAGAATCATGCCAGCCAAGCACAGGGGTTAGCAAGTAGCACGTACGTCTCGAAGGAGATATGCCTCTGCTAGACTCAAAGTCTAAGCGACCTTTGACAAAACTTATCTGCTCGTGTGTGTCCCGAAGACACGAATATGACACATATAGCAGCCTTGAGAGACTTCCCTAGCGATACTGAAGAAGGAACCGTGGAGCAAAATTAAAATAGTAAATAGTCGTGTTCCTAGGCGCATAATCTACTCGACTCTTCTATTTATTTGTTTTGCAAGTCCAGCTGTTGCAGGTCGCAGTTGCCTGAATAAAATCGTTGAATTTGAACCGGATTACACAACCATGGTCAAGTTCACCTGGTTGTGCACTATTACGCTCTGACGTTTTGTTTTGTTATTGTTCTTTTTTATCGAGAAAGAGTTTTACGACAATTGCAACACAGTTAGGGCAAACACGGCCTGAGGAGTAGAGGTGTTACAAGTGAGTAGACCTAACACACAAAGAAAAGAAGGAGAGATAAGGATGATAGAATGTTAATAGAAAAAGGGCAAAGTTCACCTAACAACGGTGATAGTTTCCTTAGTTGCCTTTTTGGGTACGAAACCCCTTGAATTTCAATGTTTATGTCAGTTAAAACATATTTTGAGTACACATTCTGAACAGAGGTTGTAGAAAAGATTAAACTGATACAGCTTTGATACTTTCCCACAGTGTTTCTGAATATGAGACCTGCAATGTATGAATGGTTTCTTTACTTTCTCTTTTGGTGTCATATATTATGTTGCCCAAACGAAACGAATCATTACTTTTTTACAGTGAACGAAAACTAAAACAAGAGTCAAAATAATATAACATAACTAGAAACGCTCATACAAAGTGAGATGGAGTTGTGGCATTCATTTTCAGAAATATTTTTGCACAGGTGATTCCCCCACCTCCACAATTAAAAAAAAAAACCCACAGAATCATAGTTTTGATAAAAGTACAGAAGAAAAAAATTCAAATCCATACTGTTCTAATCTGACTCAATGATTTACTCTTGATGCTTTGTCTGTTTGAGTAAAGAGAGGGGGGCTATCATGTTTTAGAGGTCAAGGTGTTCGCCTTTCATTCAATAGGTAGTCGGTTAGAATCCAGATAGTGACGGAAAAAATTTTTTCTCTAAAATGTTCTCCTTTCACATCCTTTCCTGCTCTCTAACAATATTCTGTCGTCTGCTTTCGTCTCCACTTTCTGCCCCCTCCCCCTCACCTCCTTCGCCCCCTCCTCTAGGCTCCTGGCTCTTTCTGCAGCCTTTCTACTGTTACTCCTGGGCTCCTTCTTACCGCTGTCTTTCAGCCAAACCCCTGATCTTCTGGTAGGGAAGCCTTCTCGGACAGGGGCAAAAAAATCTCGGAGGTCTCGAGTGTACGTTGCGCACGTTAAAGATCCCTTGGTGGTCAAATTCGATAAAAGTAGGCTTCGGCCGCCACCCGGGCTAAAATCAAAATTTCTTACCAACTGTAAAGGTTTAATGTGTCCCGCGCGCTCATATGATCTTATCCAGTTTCGAGCGCCTTAAAACACTTATCAAGTTAAAAAAAAAAAAAAAAGAGTAAAGAGAAGCACGTCGGCACAACAATAGTCATTTAGTGGTTAAAAAAAGTAAAGCAAGCTGACAGAAACACCAGAGAGAAAGTAAAGAAATAGGACCTACCCGTGGCACCCTCCAACCATCCTCAGTTTTCGTGCAAGCTTTCATCATCTTATAGATATTGTCGACACTTGGAAATATTTCTCATTGACAGAATGGATGTGTTCGGACCAAAAATGTCTTGATAAGAAATTGGGTGTGGACACCAAAATCGATCTCTTTTTTTTTTTTTTGGCTTTTAGATAAATAGGGCCTAATCGGGCTTATACCGGTATTATTGGCCTACTACTCAACAACATGGGCGCACCATTCGGCAACGTTGTTTGTTTTTATGTAAATGGATTTCTCCCCCCACCCCTACCTTTCAAACGTATTTTTTAATGGAAATTTGAATATGTGCGTGGATGAATATGAGACAACAGTATAGACTGTACTGCAGCATTTCAGATGTATTTGGTTTTCTTTTAACAATTCGTAAAAAGGTTCTGCTCACGAAAATAAGCGTGTAACATAATATAGGTAAATCCACAAGAAACTAAAACATGACGAAACACAGAAAAATCCATATAATTAATACAGCAGAGTCCGCTTAAACTGAACACATTATTCCGAAAACAGCAGTAAACCGAAAGAAAAGAAAATCCTCTTTTTTAAATTTGAGCAACTTCATTAAACGAAAGCTCGGCTAAATCGAAGAAAATCCATCAGTTCCGCATATTCCTGTTGGAGGGGACTCCACAGAAATATGTCCAGGACCGACAGCGTAACGACTCGTTTAGGCTAGCACCATAAAAGGTTGTCGAGTTTTGTTTCGTTGTGGTGCTGTTTAGTCAAAAAGGCACGACTAATAAAGGAGAAAAATCACAAAGAAAAACTTCTTACATTTTATTTTTAGTTTACATTTCCTTAATACAGTCTCAAAATGTGATTCCCATGATAGGAATGTCTATGCCAAACAGTAGAAAACATCCGCGGTACCCAATTTAAGACGTTCCTGGCTTGAATTAAACCCACTTCAAAAAGGAATTCCGTCAGAGCCATTGCCTATTTCGTGAAGAATGGAGGACAAATTTATAGGGCGACTGAAAAGATTTCTATGCATTGGCACTACCAGCGAGTTTGTTTATGTAGGTGTTGATTTTTTAATATTTTTTTTGGAGGCTTGAGAAGAGCAAATTCTGGGACGCATGTAAGAGACTTTGACATACGAAGTAATACATTTTTGCACTGCACCACCTGTGAATTTTGGCTTCAGTAGCGCAGGCAATATAACACGACACGATTTAAAGGAGAAAAAAAAATCAAAAGCTACCGTTATCGTATTTTACTGCAACAAAAGACACACAAGATTAGCAACCAAACACTCAGTGAAACTATGTGTCAAAAGGTACTGCTTTCGGTGGTCAATGAGACAGGGCTCACTCATCATCATCCAGTGCCAGATCAGCGGCAGACATCGGCAATCATGGTTGCCCATGCATTAATTTTCTTGCTCGGATGCTCTAAATAAAAGCTACGTGACCCTGATCTTTCCACGTTACCCTTGTTTAAGTTCCCTGAGTTCTGGGCCTACCCTTTCCTCGTTTGCCTTCAATTTTGCCAGTGAGATCTAGATGTTCAAGACCTTTATGTCTATAGTTCAGGTGTTCAAAAAACCGCATCTGTCTTTTCCTGGTTGTTTTTAACCACTGAAGTCATTTCTGTAATTCTTTCGTTTTGCCTGTGTTTGAAAGTTTGTAACATTTTTAATAAAACTGAAACCTGCACTTTCAAAAGTACAGGGAGGTAAAAAAAAAACAACAACGTTACAACTTTTTTTCTGAATGTCTCGCGCAAAAATTGTTCTAGATTGCTGTAATTTGGAACAGACATAATTCGTTTAAAACGAATTTGTTTGATATAAAATCCACAAAGAAGAAACATGTTTTGAAAACGGAAACGGCTAAAAGAAAAAAGCGTCCAAAAACGCTAAGTTCACCAATGTTTAAAAATCTTGTATAGGAAGTCGTGAAAAGATTAGTTGACCTTTTTCTTTATTTTCTCTTTGGCATTAATTTTCCATCTCAGTGACATTTAAACAATATTTAATTTTGTTTTACAGAGTTTAAAAAACCTAATGATTTCATTCTGAAATTCCTAGAAGCAGTGCTTCACATTTCGACACATTTTTAACGCGTAGTTCGAAATGTTCAGTGGCGCCCTAACGCACGGACCTGCTAAACCATGAGTTTTTAAAGCCACATACTGTGCATGTTCACTAAGAAGTGGCTTCTAGAAACAATTAAGTGGGGTGCCCAATAGACATCATTTTTGGAGTTAACATATATCCCACGGCGTGAAAATGGGCTTTGCACTAAACCAAAATTCGAGGAAATGATCCCTCTTTACAAGACAATCGAGGAATCATGAATACATTGCCATGCTCTGATCCATGTCATCTCAGCCAAGCAAAGATGAACATGGTATAGTCGTAGATTAAGATCTGCCTTGACAATGCAGGCTGTTGATGAGTAGGAAAGTCCTAGCCGCAGATCATCCACGGACAGACGTCTCATGGAACTCGGCTACTGAAATCTGCACTCTGATGACGTTTAAAGAGCTGCGCATGGTGCGTGTTCGACCTGAAGCGGTCATTTTTAAAAGAACTTTTTAGTTCTGATTCGCTATAGATCCAAACTGACGGAACCTCTATACTCATGACGCCAAAGGTCTTCAGTGCACCTAAGCATTCTCTCCATGCCGTGCGCAGAACTTACGAAATGTCAGGGATGGTGAGTTTGTGTAGAGGTAATGTTAAATACAAAAAGCTCTCTGCTCTTTACTAAACGTTACCAAGATCTAAACAGGCAAACATAATAGGGGGAAAATAATATCTGCAGACTTCTGTTGACTTGTTAGAATGCTGTAGATATGGCGCGATTATTGCAACTTTTAGTGGTAGGCCTAATGCCAACAGGTGCATCATGCTACTAAAATGGCGACAAGGTTGAAAAAGAGTTTTAATGCGCTATATAGAGCAAAACCATTCAAAGGACTTATCTGAAATACATATCAGACAAATTCCTTTTGGCTTCCAAACGTTATGTTCAAATCTGAAACGCAAAACTTCAGTATGGAGGAAGATATTTATAAAACAAGCTGTAAAGTTTTTTTTGGGATCAGCTTATACTTTTCCTTTAGTTAAGGGGCAGCTTATTATATTTACCAGAATAAGGCAAACACAGCCACGGCCCAGCGCTCTAAATTCCAGTGGCTCACGAAAACTAACTGACATGTGCAATATTTTGAAAAAACAAATTTTCCTACGTTTTGGATTAATTCAATGTTATTTCGTTCAATTCACATCGCTTTCAAAGAGCATCAGACAGCTTAATACACAAATACAAGGAGTAATTAAGCAAAAAGAGTGAGAGAGGGAGAGAGAGAGAGAGAGAGA